ATTTTTGTCTGTTATTTTGTCATACAGTTTTCATTCTATTATTATTTTTGTTTCTTTTCTGTTATACAATTTTCATTTTGTTGTGCTATTTTTACTTTGCACTATTTTTACTTTGCACTATTTTTACTTTGTACTATTTTTACTTTGTTCTATTTTTACTTTGTTGTATGAGGTTTAAAAGATATATAAACCCTGCTTTTTCTCCTTAAACAAAACAGGTTTTTCTGACTTCACTTTAAGGTTTTTTGGAATATAAAAATATTTCTTCTTGGACTCTTTTATATTGAATAAAAATATTATACTCTTGCTCTAAAAGTTTCTTTGGAATATACTCATTGTATTAAGTATTTTTATTATTATTATTTTTTTCTTTATTTTTGTTTTTATTTTGTTTTTATTTTGTTCTTTTGTTTTCTTTTTCTGTTTATTCACATTTCTTACTCTTGGCACGTTATCAAGTAGTATAGTTACTGCCCTAAAGTGACTACACTACAATATATTTCTTTTTTATATAAATAAAGAAAAAAACATATAGTCGCAAAGACTAAATTACTTATATCTCATAATCCACTAAGCTGATTTTAACATTTTAATTGCCATTTTGATCATAAGACACTCCTCTACAACTTTTATTAGAAGTTGGAAAGAGGTTTACTTAGTAAAGAAAAAAGATTTCTTTGGGAAACTTCAGATTGCAAAGACAATAATAAATATCACTACTTTTTTAGATGTGATTATAGGGGAAGTGATTATAAAAAGGTATAACTGTATATAAAAGTTCTTAGTTTTCTTTTTCGCTTGATAAATAATATGTATACATATATATCTTAGTTTGAGTAAAATAGGCCTTGTAAAAGGTTTAAAATGTTTGGCCTGTTTAATAAATATGTAAAGTTTTGAGTTAGTATAACATTTACAATTTAACAATTTATAAAAACTAAAACGTAGTAGAAATTCAATAAACTCAATAAACTTTGTTAATATCTAGACGTCTTACCTTTATTCTTACGAAAACTTTCTGGAGAAAGCAAATTAAAAAAGATTTTTTACTAGAGATATTCAAAACAAAGAAATTTTATTAATAAATAGGGTATTTTTAGTTTAACTTACTAAGAATCAGAAGTCCCGGAGCATAAAATAATTTTTTTTACATCAGTAAAGATATTTTTGATATTCTGATCAATAATGTATCAAAAACAGAATTTTGGTATCACCTTGCATAGAAATTAAGAGTCCTCTTCTACGTTCCGGACAACTATGGTTAAAGAAGAGTTGGCAAATGACAATATTATTTAATAAAAAATTAATAAAAAATTTTATTGAATTTGGTTATAATGATTTTTAAAAAATTTTTGTTATTCACCGATATCTATTATGCTCATATTTTCATTTGAGTTAGCATTGGGTGATTTTTCTGTGGAGATGTTAGAGTTCATATTTTCGTTTGAGTTAGCATTAGGCGATTCTTCTGTGGAGATGTTAGAGTTCATATTTTCATTTGAGTTAGCGTTAGGCAATTCTTTTGTGGAGATGTTAGAGTTCATATTTTCATTTAAGTTAGCATTAGGTTTAATGAAAATTTTGAAAATTTTTACAATATTATTGATTGAAATTGATTCTATAAAGCCAACGATCGCGTTTAAAATTTTCACTATTGCTTCTATCAGATTGCTAAAAATATTAAGTAACCCTATTAAAACACCAACTAATGCAATTAAGATTATTATAAATGTAATTTCTTTAAAAAAATCATGTTGAAGATAGTTTTCAACATCAGTAGCGTTCATGGTTTTTTTAAAAAAAAATTATTATTATTTATTTTGCTCAAAGAATCAAATTGAGAAAAAAATAAAACATAATTCATCCATTTATTGATTTTTTGAATTGAATGAATAACAATAATTATGACTTATAGTGTATTCGGATACCAACAAAGACAAAGATATCCAAGATATACAGTATACATTATACAATCGACGATTTAACCAAATTTGGTTGGCCAAAAATTGTTTTTAGATCAAATTTTTACATTATCATCAACACTCTAAATAAACCACTTGAAATAGTGGGCATGAGTGTTAGTATTTAATATAGAGGCAAATTAGTATAGTATAGGCTGATTTCTAAATCTATACTATACTGACCAGGTATTATATATATATATGAGTATTAGTATAATTTTACAGATCCGTATAGTATAGTTTTATAAATTGACCTGTACTATACTGATCTGCTCACCTATACTATACTGATCTGCTATAATTTCTTGGTATTTCGAATTTTGGCCCGAATTAAGCTTAATTCGGGCCGAAAATTGTAATTTCACCCCTGTATATTATTTTGAGATTTTATGGTACGAATTTACATATGAATTCATACTGATTCAGGTACACTTTTTTACCTACTAACATACAAAATTGCATTATATTTTTTTTTAAACTATAGTTTTAAACTAGCTCTTTGCTGTAATAGAGCCAGTTTTGTAATAACTTTTATGAAAAGTTATTGCAAAAAAATGATTCTATTACAGTATAAAGCAAGTTTAGAATTATGGTATTATAGTATTACAATATTATGGCATCATTGGAAGAACCAGTTTCTGAAGAAGCGATTTCTGAAAAAGCGGTTCCTAAAGAAGTGGTCACCTATTCTTATATATAAAATAACAATATAGTAAAGAATAAACTATTATAAAAACTATATCTACAGTATATATCAGATGTAATTAATTTTACGTACGTACGGTCATGTTTGATTTTCCAAGTTTATTTTTAGATTTAGAGCCTCATATTAGCTGATTAAAAACATTACACAAGACTCAGTAAATTCTGAAATTATTCAAAATATAGATTGATCATTTTCTGAAAATTGTTATACACAGTAATGAAAATTATAAGAAATTTCACTAAGCTTCATTTTGATTGATTGATGACACCCCACTTATTATTATTATTAAGAAATATTACCGTATGCTACTGCTTACAGTATCCTCATGATTAAGACAGGTATTATTCACCATCACTACTAGCCTGTTTCTTGAATAAGACCTGGGGTATAACTATAATGATTTACTATTTTTAATATGATATATCTCCCAGATATAGTACCCGGTTCTTCACACAGTACCCATAGGTACTATTCAATTTTAAAAATGGAATTCTTGAATAAGACCCTGGGTACTGTAAGTAGTGGCGTATATACGGTGCTACAAATTTTATTACCTGATCAGGGTTTTAAATTGTATTATTCAAGTTTTATTTGTAAATCATAATAAGTAATAATTAGTCATAATACGTAAAAATATATAAGGGTGACATTGTCATTTGTCACTTTGTCATTTAGAAGATAAATGACAAATGTCAAAAATATTCTGAGATCATTAAGATTTTGTGTCACTTCGGGTATTACAAAAAAACAAATGAACTCTGTAGTACATAGTACAGAGTAGTGATTTAAGTAGTTGCTGCAACAAATTTTGATCGGCAGATCCTCAATTTTGATAGGCTAACAGCTGAGGATCTTCAAAATTTTGGCCCACATTACAAAATTGTTTACTAAATTCCGGCCGGAATTAACTTTTTAATTTTTTC